TTTTTTTTTTTTTGGCGAACTTTGAAAAGATTCACTTCATGTTTCGATGGAACCCCAGATAGGTGAGCAGGAACCCTATATTATATATACAGTGGGTACGGAAAGTATCCCCCCTTAAATTTTTCACTCTTTGTTATATTGCAGCCATTTGCTAAAATCATTTAAGCAAAGGGTCTGAATATTTAGGACCATGTGATATTTCAGTTTTTCTTTTTTAATAAATCTGCATAAATGTCAACAATTCTGTGTTTTTCTGTCAATATGGGGTGCTGTGTGTACATTAATGAGGAAAAAAAATTAACTTAAATGATTTTAGCAAATGGCTGCAATATAACAAAGAGTGAAAAATGTAAGGGGGTCTGAATACTTTCCGTACCCACTGTATATATATTATGCAGATTATATTTTAGTGTATTATCCACGTATTAGGTAGTACAGTATAATAAAAAGAAGCTAATCTCTAGTTTTACATAGGGTAATGCCCCACCCCATAAAATCACAATTATATTAAGAATGATATCAAAAGTCATTTCCCTTAACATATTGGCTGATACATCATCATCCTACACACACTAAATCTAAATAGTTTACATTTTAAAAGTAAATGCATATTGTTATTAAGGGGGCATCTTCCATCATATCTTTTTTTTTATAAGACTACATACACATACAATACATTTTCTATGTGCACTGTGAGGAAGTCAGACAGACAAAAAAAAAAGTTTGAATAGTTTCTACAGTAGCACTCTTCTAGCTGTTTCGAAATAGAACTAATCACAGCTGTAAATTGGCATCCTTGCCTCGTTTTCATCCTTTAATAAACAATGTTTAAAAACAAAACAAAAAGGTCAAAAATGACAATCACAAGAAACAAGGACATGAGCCTCATTGTATTTCAAACTCTAATGGCTTTATTTATATATATAGATTTGTATATATAGTTTATATAATAACTGACTTCAATCGCTTGATTATCCTTTTTTCATTTTTGTTTTAGATTTAAACGACAGGACAAAGAACAAGGCATTCCACATGATCATATATTACAAAACATTAAAGAAAACTTGAATGTGTGCACATCACACATACATTACATAGATAATACACTTGCGTTAGTATAATGAAATATGGGCATGACTGAATTCACTTCAAAGGAAAGCAAGCGTAGAGAGGGAAATAAAGAAAGGAAAAGGAGAGAGAGCATTGTTATGACAGCTGAGAATAATAAATAAATAATCATATTTTAATCCAATTAATCTGTTGCATAGTTCGAAGCAAGCAGGACTAACATTTCAGCAAGATAACGATTCTAACAAAAGCTAAATGAAAGAAGGGCTCAACAAAATCTGGATTTTTATTTTTTCCACCAATTAAAACGCACACTGACTGCAGACACCGTTCATGACTGACACCGTTCAACACACATGCACACACTTTGTTGTCTGAATCCAAAACACACTCGACTATTCACTCCAAGTGCACATTGACAATTAATGAAATGGTAATTCAGCCGCTTAAGGAGATTTTTCCCTTTCATGCAGCATTAAGGTTGACACAGCTGGGTCAACTTTACATGAATTTAGCATGGACCAAAAAGAGCTCAGCTCACACTTGAATGGAAAACAAACCAAGTGCTTTCCAACAAGAACATTTTGAAACAACTTCTCAGTAACAGTATATTCCCCTACTGTGACTGTATAGCCCTTAAAACTACATTACATTAGTTGAGCACATATTCTCAAAGAGACTGTAAACAGACAGGACACTGGGCTTTTTAGATCCACCATCAACATTTTAAATGAAGTTATTCCAAATAAATGCAAATAAGATTCACTTTCAGTTAGAATCAATTAAGGCCACCACACTTTCCCAAAACCAATGATCAAAGACAGTTTTCTCATTTTTAATTGATTACTCGGGACTAAATCAATCAGACACAGTGGAGCAGGTTGTCCATTGGCACTTCTGTGATCCTAGAGATGTAAAATCACAAAACACTACATTTCTGTCTCTGTAAAGTGACTGTAAACAGATTTTTTCCCCCAACATTTTGTCCCTCACTATGCAAAGCCCTTGTCCTTCAAAGAGATCTTGTTCAGTAAAAGTACTAAAAGTAACACAGAAACCTTTTGACTTAAGCTTTTAATAGCTTAAGTCATTAATGACAAGAAACAAAACAAAGAAAAAAAACAGGAATAAATGGAAATATGCTATAATCAACACTCTTAAAAATAAAGGTTGCAAAATGGCGTTTTCACACCGATTCCATAGAATTACCAATATGGGTTTCCTGAAGAACCTTTCAGTGAACAGTTCTTAGAAAAAACATTTTTTGTCTTAGGGGCCTTTCCCACAGAATGCGTTTTAGCTTTGAAAACCGTGAGACACTAGCAGTGGAATGGAGAAAAATGCAAGGCCTCTTACTTGACTAACTTGAGCACTACATTTTTATAATGCCGTCTAACGTTTACATACAAAAACGATGGAATTTAGTGTAGTGGAATGGGGGGGAAAAATTGCATTCTGTGTGAACGGCCTCTTAGTATAAAGAACACTTCAATCTAAAGAACCTTTTGCAGAATGGAAAGATTCCACGGATGTTAACAGTTCGTCATGGAACCATAGATGCCAATAAAGATCCTAATTTTAAGAGTGTATTTCCCATGCATTAATAAATAAGACTTGATTTGTTAAGACTACACATTCATTGACTAATGTAAGTAACTAAACCTACCTTGTATAAGATTATAAAACAATGCTCTCTCTCTCAAAGCCCTCAAATAGATGCAAAGGGTAGGAATAAAGAGAGTAAAGGGAATCAGTGCATATCAGGAAAGTGAGATGGGGACTCAAGAACGACTGTTGCCTACCTTGAAAACGTCTTTCATCTTTGATGGATCATGCATGGATGAGAGGGAGCTTTCTGGATGGAGTTGGTAACCCACACAATCAGGTGATGGAACATCAAAGCTCGTACCACTCTGCAATTAAGCAGTTCAATCGACAGCCATGGCTTGTGGCTATAAAAGTAACGAAACGAAGCCAAAGCGAAGCGTAACTGGTAAAAAGACTAGAGATCGTTCAAGCACATACTCTGGCAGTTATTCCCCAATTCCCACACCCCAGTAATTAGGAAATGTAATGGAGTAGTGCTCTCTCATGACGTCTAGACAAGAAACGAGACTCTTTCATCTCCGCAGTACAGAACATTCTTCACGAAAACAGTGTCGAGTCAGTGTGTGCTTCCTTTGCAGAGTCTATTGATGTGTGAGCGTGTTTGTCACATTCATTCTAGAAACAAGCAAACATCTGGGGACGCCTCATTCCATATGTAATCATGCAGAACATTGAACACATACGTATATTGAACAATTATGACTTTTTTCCAATGCAGTTTTTTCCCCAAGTACAGTGTGGTTTAAGCTACACAGGACACTAAAAATATCAATCGCACCAGGTTGTACATATTGCTTTGAACCACCAATTTGTTTATAAGTAATGCATGCCACATAGATGATATTATGTTTATACAAAAATAACACCAGTGTATATTACTGTGTTTCATATGAATTACAGAAATCGGATGTTCTATTGACTGCTTTCCCCGCAATCAAATACAATTTTCATTTCACTCAACATCAGATGTAATTGGACTAAATATATGCAAAATAAGTGGTTACAACTTAATGTTATATTCCAGTTTTAAAACAAATTTTTTTTTATTTACAGTTGTGTATCATTTCCTCCCGTCCCCAACCAAGCAAACAAGAACTGTCAGACAACTTCAGTAGAGTAGTAATGCATTAAAATTCAAAGTTATTGCACGACACCTTGAAGCGATTCTCAGTTTACACAATGCGAGAGAGAAAAACATGTGCAATAACAGAAATGGTTCTAAGGAGCTGTTAAAGGGAACCAGAAAAGAAAATTAAAGACAACAGCTTTGATCAATTCCCCCTTTTTCTGCATCCATTATGATCAAGTAATGAAAAAAAAAAATTAAGGGGCATATTTTAGATTCTCATGGGAAAGAAATATCCAAATAAGGATGAAATCCAGTTATAAGTTATTCCAAATGAACAAGAACAAAGACATAAGTCAGAACTGACTGTACAAAGCAACACTGTGGCAGAATTTATATAAAGCTCTAACTGGAAACTGTTTGACTGCTTCCACATGAAGTAAAATGCATTTGTACTTTCGTGTAACATACAGAATGTATGCTTAATTTATATCCAGAGCTGCATATGACAAAAATGTTTTCACAAAGACAAATCAAAGTTAAAATGATGACAACACAGAGAATACGTAATGATCTCTATTTTCCATAGCCACCACTTTGCCACTTTAATGGGTGATACAGAAATCTCAGAAAATAAATCATGTTTTATCAGTCTAAAAGAACATAAAAATTGAGTTTGAAAACCTCAAAACCCTTAACATTTCTCAACTGTAGTTCAATAGATTCCAATTAGGTGGCAAATAATATTATTTTAAAGACTTTGCACAGCCAGCATATTAACCTGTGGCTGCAGATTTGGAGTACACTATTCAGGATAAGGCCATTAAATTGAGAACTCGACCAGACCCCTTGACTTTAGAGTAAACACGTAACTATCTCAGCTCGGACATCGAATCTGACACCGCATTTGGTTACAAACGTGGCGCATTATATATATATATATATATATATATATATATACACACTAAACTGCTTATTTTGCTAATTTGTCATGTCACCAAACTCTCTGGCCTATACACCTATATTTATATATTTTTCCAAAATATTAAAAAGTACTTAATATAAAAATACAGAACAATTGTAAAAAAAAAAAAAGGAACAAAGCATTGAGTTTTATATGAAATTCATGCATGCTTACCCACAATAACATACCATGTTCCACTTAAGTGAAATAACAAAAACTGCCAGTAGGGGGAAGTGCAGCTTCACCCGACTGCTGTGGAACCTTTCCGTAAACATTAAAGTGGTCCATCTAGGGTTTTTTCCTTTTTTCTTTAGGCAGTGACTCTCTGTGTGTTTTTAGAATTTGGTTGGAAATACAAAATAAACTGCAAAAACGATGGGATATAAAAGAACAATCTATAAAATATGGCTCTGAGCAAGTAGAAAAAGGTGTAATTTGAGGAATCCATCAATTGGTATGAGCAGAAGGTCAAGTCTATGGCAGTAGTATGTTTCGGCTAATAAAAAGCACATGTCGTTGAAGCCGCACTCTTATGAAAACAGTCCAATATAGTTTGTCATCCAAGTTTCAACAGAGCTCACAGGGTCCAAAATAGGCCCTTGCCGCATACTTTTGTGTGTTTAAGTGTTTTCTTTCTCTCTTTTTTTTAAATAGCAAAAGCATGCTTACTACATGCAGTATCTTTACCCTCACAGGCTAAGTTCAGGGATGGGATTTTGGAGCTCTACCAGTGGCGTCTGCTTAACTTGGAGCTTATGTGGAGCACAGCCTGATGTTAGATAACAAGGAGAACACCTAACTGCAGAGCTGAGACGAGAAAAAGACTGGATTTGAAAGTACACACATACAGAATCATTTCTATAGCATTTTTTTTCTGAAAGAGGAAACAAGAAAAAGGAAAATCCTATTCATTAGTCATTATCCCATAAAGATTAGTATTACAATTACCATTCCCATACAATCAGACACAGATGAACCTAAAGACAGATACATGCACACTATGATGAGGTGCTGTACCTTTGATAAAGTACTTGGTCAATTAGCTGGGCATTTGTTTTGAGGAAAATGAGCATTAACAAGAGACTAGAGATGCCCACTGGGTGTGATTTCGAAGAGATGATGTGTAAGATGACCCTCCCTGCCCCCTTAAGAGCCAATCAGGTATTCCTAGCTATCAAATAAGTTTATTATAGTATTTTATTCTGCTAATGTTCACTATAGCAGCCTTACATCTGTACATATAAAGTGACAGGAAACCCAAAATGAGCCAAACAGCATTGTATGACAACCTCTGAAAACATGACATGTAGTGTGTCTGAACTACTTAAAACATCCATTAGAGCATAAAATAAATTTTAAAAACTAAAAGAACATAGGTAGCTTCACTGCCATGTTTTTCAATCCACCTTAAAACAGAGCAAATCAAGAGAGAGAAAAAAAGAGAGAAATCTATTCAAACAGCAACTGAGTGCATGAATATAATCGGCTGTATCAGCAAAAAAACAAAACAAAAACTATGTAACTGAGAGTCCTGGGACAAATAACAAAAATTATTACAGCATTACACAAGACCAGAGATGTGACAATATAAAAATGAGAAAAATCACAACTGTAGAAGAGATGCCAGTGACAGGCTGAGAGAGGATATTTGCCACAGTGTCACCCTCTAGTGTGTAAGTTAGGCCATATGTCACATGGGCTGCAACACAGCCGCATGTACTTACAGAGCGCTGCTGTCGCCGACACAGTGCAAGTTGATAGGGGCAGAGGGGTGGGGAGGATGGAGGAGAGGCGAAAGGGATCGTAGTCGCCCCATCGGCCGCTGTAAGTGCTGCTGTCTCTTAGATGTGCATCAGCAGGGCTCCACCGGAGGAGTGGTGCACAGGTTTTAAAAACACAACGAAATAAAACAAAAAATAATGATTTTGGGGCAGTTGCAGTGGAGAATGATGGGAGGGTCACACGGTGAATTCATAGCTGTGAAGAGAGCGGTCCGGGGGTTCGCCGCCACCTCCATTTCTGGAAGAGGAGGGGAGGTGCTCAATCTCTACACAGCCCTCGTCTATCGTGGGCACGCGGGGTTCCTCCTCGGAGAGGGGTACAAACTCAGGGTGGGACATGAAGTTATGGATGGAGCTTCTGGATTCTGGCTTCTCTAGGCCCTCGTATAAGGAGCTGCGGAATGCATTCACCACCTTAATCTGGAGAGAAAAAGGCAAGGAGGAATTAGTGGGATTGTATCGTGTGGTGTCTGCTTCAGGGCGGGATGCACTGGATCTGGAGGGGAACAAAAATATGGTCAGTGGTGGGAGATGATTTCATTTCCACAATAGCACTCAAGCTCCTTATGAAATATCAAACAAACAAATAAAAACCAACACAAAAATAACAGCACAGAACATTGAATAGAGAAACAGGGATAAAATGAAAAACCACGACTGTGATGCAATTTTGTATTTGGGGCAAGTGAATGAGGAAATCAGGCACAGCATAAAACCGTAAGTGGGACACATCCATATCAATCACAAGCTTCAAAACGTTCCAAACAAAATGACCACAATCACAGAAACACTGCAAGACGAGACGGACATGCAACTGATGTTTGTTCAATAAGCTATTTAGGAGTCAAAAATGGCAGATGTTCAGCATCCATTTTGGGTTTATGAAGGCCTGTCAATAGGGGTGGGCGATACAGCAGTTTGAACGCTAAACTGGTAGAAACTGTCAACCGCAGAGTATTCTGTAAAACCGCAAAAAAAAAAAAAAAGGTGCCAAATCACATTACATTCAGGGAGGAAAGGAAAGGAAGTTACTGCTGCTAACTCAAGCTTTCATACAAACGTTTGTCTTCAACCACGGCAAGAAACAACCCGATTGTGTGAATTACTATAGCAAGTATTAAATGACATCTGGTGTCACTAAAATGACTCTACACTTCATCCACAAAGTCAAACTGGGTTTATAAAAAGTTTACTTCAGAATAAAAACAATTGCTTTTAATTTATTTTAGTTTGAATTAATCAAAGTAATGCTGAGGAGATTTTAATACATTTTTAATAGATTATTTACTTGTTGCAACGCAATGGGCACCAAACATGGCTCAACTCATCTAAAAGTGTACATTTTTAATAGAAGGCAAATGCTGGTTAAAAGTGGGATTCCAAAGGGGAAATTATTTTGAACAACAATTGATTTTTGAACAACCACATACTGCATGGCTTTAGACAGTCTCATGGACTACTTTCTTTTTCAATTAAATTTTTTGCTTGAGGTAAGACCAGTGTACAGTAAGAAGGTTATTTCCTTTAACCAGGAAATTAACGTTCTTAGAATTGACAAGACGGTTGACCCTGAGTGGTCAGCTAAATATCTACAGTGGATCTAAAATATGAATAGTTAATTATAACTAGTTATGGTTAATTATTCATATTTCCCATGAGCTGATTTGCTACAGGGTGAAATCAAGAAGGCATGGAGAAGAGAAGAACTGTCAAGAGGTAGAGAGAGAACAGAGAAGATGCTGTCAAATAAGTGAAACACAAACATGAATACACACTTAAAGCTTTTAATGCCAGGAAGTCTAAAGACTTAATATTCAGATCAATAGAGAGGACATCCGAGAGGTATGCTGCTTTACATGCAGGAATGCAAACAGGACAATTTGTCAGGTAGTTTTGTGGCCATTGTGCGTGGTGAAGATTGATCCTTGGCCGGTACTACAGTCAAGTTACCATTTTCTCTGCCTGAGGATGTCATTTATTTTATTTATTATATTATACTATTTTATTTTATATCAATTTGAATTTTGTGGTAAGCACATGGCTGTTTTTAATGTTTACTTAGGACTAGGGCTGGGCAAAAAAATCAAATGCGATTTTCATGCACATCTCGTCAGTAAAGCCACTTCTGGTGATTAGTAGTAAATCTCCAGCACGTGCTTTCAGATGGAGCGGCATTTACTACACAGAGCCGTAGATCACTGACAAGCTACACAAAATCGCGTTCAAAATAGCAGGCAATTCATTGTCGATTTTGGGGGAGCTTGTCAGTGAACTACGGCTCTGTGTAGTAAATGCCGCTCCATCTGAAAGCACGTGCTGGAGATTTACTACTAATCACCAGAAGCGGCTTTACTGACGAGATGCGCATGAAAATCGCATTCGATTTTTTTGCACAGGCCTACTTAGGACAAATCCAAACGGTAAAGTGGAAGGAGGATTTTTTCCCTCAAAATATAAACTCTTAGGAATACAAGTAGATAGCATTAAAATGCATAGTATGTGCACCCAGTCCTTCAAAACATATGCTCTTGGTCTTTCAGAGACTCTCTGCGCTGTGGTAAAACGTCAGAAACTAATCTTGCTCTCTTGCAATTTTTATGGCTTCAACTTGAGAAGAACCATAAAGACAAATGTGAATTGGTGTAACTTGTTTTGCAAGGGTCTGGAGGATTTTCCCCACATGGAGCCCATGGTAACAAGAGGGCCTTTCGCACCGCGGGAACCTTTTCATAGTACCAGAACTAATTGTGGAACTACCCACTTTTTGGCGTTTTCACACCGCCGGAACTGGGTGCGATTTTAGTACCGGACAGCCTTTTTCCACAACCAAATTAGCTCCTACTCAGGAGCAGGGTCTAACCAGCACAACTGGTACAAATCGCGACGTAAGTAGACATTGATTGGTCAAACGTGTATGAAAACGCCCTCACCCGCCATGATTTAAAATGCTGTGTAAACATACTGTAAATATTGTGTCAATTTATTTCGCAAGTATGGAGAACAGCGATAGATGGACGGACGCTGAAGTGCAGGCACTTGTAGCAAATGTAGCACTGCCAGTTGTCGTTGGAGATTCTTAGTCCTCCTTTCCGTTCTTTCAATCGCTTTACGTATACGTCGACATTCCATGTCTATTATTGTGAAACCCGCAAGACACAACAAAAACACAGCTCCGATCACAGTGTTCTCCATCCTCCTGTTGTTAATGTTGTTCTTCGTTGTTTCCGTTTTTGAACGCCACGCACAAATGACGACATTGTCGACCGGCTTACGTCACTTCTTAGTACACACTGTCGGTGCGAATGCAACCCTTTAAATAGTACTGAGAAATAGTTCCCGCAAAATCGTCCCAGTACTTTAGTACTGTACATTTAGTTCTGGAACTAAAGTGGTGCGAAAGGCCCTAAACACGTCTGAAGAACCCTCTGCCCTGTCAGCTCAGCCAATCAGCAGTGGCTTAGTCTGTTCTATCCCTGTTTATTTCTCAGGTTTAAATTCTTGTACCATGCAGCTATGTTGGTCATGCTTTTTCTCCCAATTTTCTCCTCCAAGCCAGAGAAATCCTTGCACATAAAACCAAGCTGGATGTCACATCATGTCAAAGTGCTTGACTATGTTGTGATCACAGAAACTGATCTCACTGCATGCTGGAAGACAGCCTTTATTTTAATCAGGCTAACTATTTTTGCTTTAGTTTAAAATAGCAGAGCGCAAAACAAAACACAGAAGAGAGAGGAAGGGATCAGAGGGACCGAATGTGTAAAATGAATGTCTGCTAAGTTCTAAATACTAAATTCCATCAGCCTGTGAAAAATGCAGGAACAGCAGGCTGAAGACATTTGTGAAGCATCTAGTCTCTCCTCATAATTTCTTACAGAGCTGGTCTTGAATCACTAATTTGGATGACTAAAAAGATGACTTTAGACAAAAGATGACAAATTATATTCCTATGGTACAAAATAAGTGCTCACATGTACGGTGACAATAATAATTGGTTATTATGGTTATTATTATAACCATATGGTCGAGCAATAACACTACTACTATTAATATGCATTTAATTAATTATTTTTTAATTCTCACATAGTCTGATTTGAGCCTACCACCTAACACTGCCCTAGCCACTGCATATCGACACTAAAAACCACTCTGAACATTTCACATTTCTGTACAAGATAGAAAAACCCGGTAGACATTTTAATGCATTGCTTGGCAGGATATAGCTGGACTACATCTGTCCATTTTCACATGGTTATTTTAAAAATGATTGAACCTTTAATTTCCTACCAGCTGTCTGTATATTTGGATCATTCCCATCTATGGTGAAATGAACACTCTGACCCTATATCTGCCTTGTGTGTGAACACAAACTTTCAGATGTGTAATGCAAAAAGCACTAGTGATGCAACCTAAATAAGGAAGGCAGGAAAAAACAACCCATGACTCAGTTCCTTCTAGAATATCAATGAAGAGAGATGGAGACAGAGTATAACGTGTCAGAGCAGAAGACACAAGAGTGTGATGAGGGGGCTGAAAGCATGAGAGTGAGAGTGGGGCTGCAAAGGAAGGAGAGAGAGAAAGAAAGACAGAGAAAAGTGTGTGAAAGCAGTTGTGAAAAAAGGGAGAGGCCTGGTGTTAAAATTAGAGGGAGTGAGCCAGGGGAAGAGAGAAAGGGAAGCATCACTATGACCTCTACTCTGGGGTGCAGAGCACTTTAAGTGAACACTTAAAGGGTGTAGGGCTCATATGTGCATTCGATACACCATTATCAAATCTATATGTTCCTTTACTAACAAATCCTCAATTCATGTTTATAATTGTAATGATGTTGCACATAAAGCTGGGAGCTAAATATTGCACATTCTTATTATATTCGAAACCAAGGTTATTATTAGTTGTTATTGTAACTAAAACTATTAATAACTATTTGACTCAATTGAAATAAAGCTGAATTAAAAGAAAATATAAATATTTGATGGGTAAAAATATAGAAATAGATCATGTAAAATTTTGCCTTGCTAACTAAATGGAATAAGTTTAAGTTGAACCAATACAATTACTGTTAAATTATTAAATTGACTAAATAAAAAAATAAAAATGAATCAAATCTCAAATAGGAATAAATAAATAGTAAATAGTAATAAATTAAACCTAAAATTATTTTAAAAAAATTCAAAACATTTAATTTGAAAAACAAAATAAATAATAATAATTAAATATATATATATATATATATATATATATATATATAA